CACAGAGACGCCTCGCTCTCTCCTTTTGGAGGGAATCTTCCCGGTTGGCCGAGAAGGGCCGACACGGACACCTTCCCAGCATCCATCGGAGAGGAGGCCAACCTGCGGGACAGAAAACTGGCCGCCTCCACGAATATGAGTGACTTTTGGCACAAGCTGGGCTGCTGTGTTGTAGAAAAACCACAGCCGGTGAGTTTGGTTGGCCTCCTGCTTTTTTACCTGTTTTCCAAGGGTTTTGGTGAAAAGGACGGGTACTCGGACGGCTCCTGAAAGACCCACCCACTGGACTGCCCGCTCTGGCTCCCCCAAAATGATCTCCGAGATCCCCCCCAAAACCCTCCTTGGTGCCTCGTTCGGCTTGTGTCGGCCTTCTTAACAAGTTCCTTCCCCCCCCCAACCCTCCCTCTTTCCACCGAGCCTTGTGCGTCAGGAATCTGCGGGCGGGCGGGCGCCTGCCTCCTGCCAACTCTCCAGCTCTCCAACGCAGGGGCAGAAATGATAGGAATGCCGTTCACCTCTCAGCGGCGTGTCCCAGCCTGGCTTGGCTTCTTGGCTCAACCCTTCCTCCTTCGCCATTTTCTGTGCTGGGGCAAGCTGGCAGGCCGGGTAGAGAGAGATGCTGTGTAGCCACCGACTTTTACGGTTGTTGTTATTTATTTTAAATCCCATCACATGACATCTGTTTACTCTCATCTCTCATTCTGTGGCCTGTTTCCTTCAAGCTTAAAAATACCCTCCTGGGGCTTCTTTGCAGATGGGCTGGGATTTCTTTTCCCCCAGGGCAAATCTCTCTTTTCTGTCTATTTTTAAATACCTCTTGTGTTCTCTTTCTCTCTTGGAGACCCCTTTTCCTCTCTCCCTCCTCTTCTCTCTTTGAAACACCCCCTCTGTTTCTCTCTCTCTGTGTGTGCGTGTGTGTCTCCCTCCCCTTCTCTTCCCCCCCCTCTGTTTCTCTCTCTCTCTCTCTCTGTGCGTGTGTGTCTCCCTCCCCTTCTCTTGCTCTTTCTTCCTCTTAGCCTGTTGGACTTCTGGAAGAGGCTTCCATGCCTCGTGGTCTGAACTTCATCAGGTAGTGAATGTCCAGCAGACAAAAAGCAACACAAGGGTCACTCCCTGCTGAAGCGAGAGGTGAAGCAGGCAGAGGGTAGATTTTTGTAGCCTCTGTTCACGGCCACCTTGTTTTTATAGAAAAAGATAACCCATGCATTTAATCGCTTGCCCCTCAGCCTTGCTTAAAGGAAGACAAGGGCAGAGGGCAAGCGGCAGGCTCCTCTGTTTTCACAACGCCCCTGTGAAGTGGGCCAAGCGAGGAGAAGAACTTGCCTGGCCTCCCCAGGAGTTGGGTCTCTCCGAGCCCTTTGCTTCAGGCAAAGCCACATTTTAAAACTTTCCGTTCTGTTTTATGCCCTTCCGCAGAAACGGACGAGGCGAAGAATCGACCGCACCATGATAGGGGAGCCGATGAATTTTGTCCACCTGACGCACATCGGGTCTGGCGACATGGTGAACGAGGGGCTTCCTATGGTATGACGTTTATTATTGAATTAAAAAAACAACAACAAACCCGCAGCATTTATGAATTGCCTTTCTGCTTGGGCAGAGGGTTCACGAGAGCTGGATGAAAGCATTTGAAAAACAGATTAAAAATGCTATTTTAGCAAAAGGGAATTTTGAAAGCCTTTTGCTAAAGTTAATATTTGTGGGGGTGGGGGTGGACTATAAATCCCATAATTCCCCAAACTGGGGATTGTGGGAGTTGTAATGAAAGACAGTGCCCAGAATAATACATGATACTCTTCAATATACATTGAAGAAAGAAAAACATAGTGAATAAAAGGGCAATTTTCCCAGCACTGTGGACACACACGGCAAGAAAAAAGGCCGGGTGGGGAGGGGGGAGGCTTTTTCACTTCCAGTTTTGCAGCAGGAAGAAGCAGAGGCATTGTTTCCAGAGTGTAAATGGGAACCAGATTAAGAGTCCGTAGGGAGGGTCTTTCCCCTCCCTGCCAGAAAGCCCTAGTTAATGGGAGCAAAATTAGATGTGGCCGTGAAATGTGCGTTTTATTTTGTTTTAATTGAAAACAATACAACGCAGAAAGCATCAACCTAGCCCAAAGCAGCCAGCCTCAGAAGTGGAGGTTTTTTTCCCCACTTTAGGATTGAAGCAAGGGGAGGAAAGGGGTTAAATCTCACCCCTCTCGTTCCATGACTACAACAAAGCCCATACTCCACCACTGCTAACTCCCCCTAAATGCGAAGGGAACATTGAATAAAATAGACTTTTATACTGTAGGAAAGCAGGATCTGCTCGCGGGCTCCCTCTTGTGGCTGCTCTTAAAAGGAAACCCATTTGGACAGAATAATACATGGTACTCTTCAATATACATTGAAGAAAGAAAGACATAGTGAATAAAAGGGCAATTTCCCCAGCACTGTAGACACACACGGGAAGAAAAAAGGCCGGAGGGGGGGGGGGCTTTTTCACTTCCAGTTTTGCAGCAGGAAGAAGCAGAGGCATTGTTTCCAGAGTGTAAATGGGAACCAGATTAAGAGTCCGTAGGGAGGGTCTTTCCCCTCCCTGCCAGAAAGCCCTAGTTAATGGGAGCAAAATTAGATGTGGCCGTGAAATGTGCGTTTTATTTTGTTTTAATTGAAAACAATACAACGCAGAAAGCATCAACCTAGTCCAAAGCAGCCAGCCTCAGAAGTGGAGTTTTTCTCCCCACTTTAGGATTGAAGCAAGGGGAGGAAAGGGGTTAAATCTCACCCCTCTCGTTCCATGACTACAACAAAGCCCATACTCCACCACAGCTAACTCCCCCTAAATGCGAAGGGAACATTGAATAAAATAGACTTTTATACTGTAGGAAAGCAGGATCTGCTCGCGGGCTCCCTCTTGTGGCTGCTCTTAAAAGGAAACCCATTTGGCAAATATACTGTACAGTAAATCGAATTGATTTGAGTGATGAGGTTTTAATTCTAAACCCGTTTGGCGCTGGGTCAGACGGGGTGGGTGCTTCCAAACTGGTAAGATCAAAGCTTAGGAAGTTAAGCTTTTTAAAAAAACAATAACTCCAAGAAATACCCCTGCCACCATGGGGCAGAAGGTTAAAAAAAAAAGAAGTAACTTTTGCTGCTTTCTAGATTTGGGATTTGGAAAGAGCTAAGCAGAAGGCTGAATAAATGGCGTTTGTGAGTCATCGCAGAACTTACGAGGCAAACCCAAGAAAAATGATTTAGTTATTTGTTTTGTGTCCTGTTGAGAATAAACCACCCTGTGATGCAATAAAAACACGTCACAGCATGAATCAATATAGATGGTACAAACTGCTGTTTCAGGAACAGGCGATGGACAAGAAAAAATTTGTTGGAAGAGGGGAATAAAAATCCAGAATAATGGAAGCTCAGAATTCAAAGGAATTTCCTACGCAATTCAAGGCACTCTATGGAATGTAACAGTGGCTCCTCTTCCTTGCCACTAGAAAGCTAGTGTTTCAGGGAAGAAGCTGCCTTATAATGGCTTTCTCCTTGAGCTGCTAATGCTCCAAATGCAAGGAAGTGTTTGCTTCTCAGTTTTTTGTGGGGCTGGGGCTGGTTTTAAAACAGGATGTGGTGTAGACTATAGAAGAACTTCATTCGGTGACTCCGTTCAGCGTCTACTCTAGACCTACTGTAGTCAGTTCACGGCTTGGGAAAGGGACGGCTTGGGGACTACAATGCCCAGAATCCACAGACCAAGTGGCTAGCTCGATCATTTGGGAAACAAGTCACATTTCGAAGCTCTGATGCATTTGGGGGCTCAAGGAATTAAATAAAGTAAGCATTTCTTAAAGCTGTGCTGTTCACTCACTTTCTCTCTCTCGTTCTCTCTTCCTTCCAGACTGGAGCTGTACAAGAAATGAGATCTAAATGCGGCCGAGACCGACAATGGAGCAATTCTCACATTTTGTAGCTCTGAGGGATGTATACTTGTGTTGTTTTTCCCTTCCAGTGTAAGTCCGTTGCAAGATTGGCAAATCTATCCCCACAGTGCTTTCCCTGATGGTCACTGAGGACTTGAAACTGGGATGTTGGTTTTTTTGTTTTTTTATTGTTTTTAGCTTCTAAAATTGTGTTTTTAAAGACTTCAGCCACCTTGTATCCCTTTTTAGAAGAAAGGTGGGCTTAAAATATTTTAAATACATAAATAAGATACGAAGCATTAACCCACCAGTTTCAGGTTGGTTTGTTTCTTGGAAGAAAAGAGGGAAAAAAGCAGTGTTTTAGAAAATAATATGGAATGGGTTTATAAAAATACTTGCCATTGTGTCGAAAAATGTGCAGGTATTTATGGCTGGGGGATTCTACGAGACATTGTTCTCTCCCAGCCAAGAATGCTAGGGACAGCTGGAAGATTATTTTTCAAGACCGGTTAAATTAGGTCCCCCCTGATGATCTTTTAGTAAGTGCACACCTCCTTAAAAAAACGAATCTCTTTATTGGAATTTTTCAGGAGATACCGCTGCACATTCACCCAACCTTTTCATACAGGGAAATCTGACAATTGAGTAGCTTAATTAAGACCATTATTCCATCGTTCCCCTTTATTAAGACCGTTATTCCATTAACCCCTTCCTCTCAGTTTGTGGAAGGGACTGTGCTAATTCTTATTCTGCTCTGCTTCTTCTTGCAGGTTCCAGGCTAATGAATAAAAACCAAAAACACACACACAAAAATATCTCTAGATAGGTATGCATAGAAGCACCGCTCACTTGAATTACATGTTGTGCTTGTCAGGATGTGTTGACTGTTTCAAGGAACGCTGAGGATTTTAATTCGTCAATAACTTATGCAAACCGATTCTGATATTTTTCTTTTTGCTTTGTTTTTAATCTTTTTTTTAAAGAGCAAAAGCAACAAAATATATTTCTTTTCCTCTGCATCTAATATCTCTTCGCCGACTCTGCAGGACTGGGTGGACGGAATCATCGCGGCACTTTTCCTTCTGACACATTTCAGCAACTTGGGGTGTTCCCCCCCCCGCACACACACACTGTTCTCTGTTTTTATAGATACTGTATATATATATTTTGCTTTGCAAGGAAGATTGTCGATCTTCAAAAGATGATGGCCAGCGCTTCAGCAGCTCACCAAAGCATTCTATCAGCTTATTTATCATTTTTCCTTTTTTTCAATTTTGTGGCATTTTTCTCATCTGGAGAAATTACCGGCAAGATTGTTGGGTTTGTGTATTTCCCACCCACCCTCCTTGAGAAGTTTATTCACTGGATTTTAAAAGAAATTCTAGAGCATCAAAGGGATGCCCACATGAGAAAGCAAAGGTTTTTGGCGCGCCTGGAATAGGAAATGCACAGGACTGTGGTTGGTGACGTCCCTGCCACTGGCCACCCGATGCCTTCTATAGCCCACAAGTGCCCTCCACTTCAACCAAGGCTGTGCAGGAATGTTTTCTGTGGATCTGAACCCATGCTGATGAGGAATGGCAGGACTCCTCTGGATTATTCTCTGCCAGTGCCTCTTGTGTCTGTCTATCTGTCCGTCCATCATTTTTGAAATTTGTCTCCTCCAAGCCTTTTGGGAAACATTGTGGGGAGATGATCCCCAGAATGATATTTAGGGCAGACTAATGATCAAGGCATCCAGCCCCAACTGGCTTTCGCTGTGGGTTTGTCAGCTATCAAGCAGCTGTCAAAAGGAGAACTCAGTCATTCATTCTGTCACAGGCGTGGGGTTGGCTGAAATGTTACAACGTGGTGGGGAAAAGCGTGTCTTTGTGTTCAAGCCTTCCCTGTGGCCATTGCAGTCCTAGGTGGGTTCCCTTAAAAGAGGGACCTAATTAGAAGGTATTTCGGAATGCTTCTTCCCACCCCCTGGGGGTCTGATCCTTTTCTTGTGTTCCTCTGTGAGAGCGGAGAAGGCGTTAATGGAAAATGTTCTTGCACAAGCACACTGGAATTGTGGGCAACCTTATGTGAGAGACCCCGTTTCCTTGCACGCTCCCCCTTTTATAATGCGCTTGTGGATGAATTTTTTTTTAATATGGACATATTTTATTCAGAGACGAAGAGAAGATCATGAGATTACAGCTGTCTTCTTTTTTTAAAGGACAACAATTTTCTAGAGAAGTAAACCCGTGTTTTGAATTCCATTTGTCAGATTGGTCCAAACTAAAAACATCTGGGCACCTGGAAGCTTTTTTAACCCTGGCACCCTGGGGTGGGGGTGGGGGGGAGAGGCACCTGCCTCTGAGGCCGCCTTTCTCTCTAGGTGGTGGACGTATTGCAGACAATATGATGCCCCCATGGCTGAACTCTGGAATCGCATTTCCACTGCAAGAAGATCACCTTACCTTAAAAAGCTGAAGAAGAAGAAAAAAAGAAGCCTCTTTCATGTGGAGTGTCCCTGGGGAATAGCTGATTTATGTTTGTTGATTATGGCAGAAGTGAACAAAACAAAACAAAATACTTTGTTTTTTCCAAGTCAAGATAAGCACAAGGTTGCTTTAAAATAACACACAGCTATTATATGGCAGACTTGATACAGACCTGACTTGATAGTTTTAACTAGGAATTTGTTTGCTGTTACCTTGGGAAAGTGACTTTGGACTATGACTCCCAAAATCCTTTATGGCAGGGGATTCTTGGTCTTGTAATACAACATTTTCCTGAGCTGTGTGTTTTGCCAGGTTATTCTTCATTTCAAAACATTGTTATTGGAAAGCTGGAAATTTCAAGCAGAATGTCTGCTTAAAATTGACCGTTTTTCCCAAGCAGTTTTAAAACCTGCTTCCAGCAAGCTAGTTTTTTCTTCTTCAAGCAACAGAGATTTAAGCCAAGTAGATGCAATTTTATTCACATTCCTTGCATGGTGGCTCCCCTTCCACTTCACTCACTTGTGTTTGGCTTGTTCCTTGCTTGGCTTTCCTTCCTCGGCCTCTCACACCTGCTTGGAAGGTAGGACTTCAACAGGTAAAGCTTTTTCTTGTTGTAAAGACATGGGGGGGTTGGGCTGCACCTTCTGCCATCCTGCCTGTCACACAGCTGACCATCAAAATCTCTGATGTCCCCAAATCTGATGTCTTTATTGTCTTATCTGATGCATGTCGGAAAACACTATACTGCTGATCTGCAACATACTAGTTTTGGGGAAGAGGTGGCTCAAAAGCAGCGAGCCAAGCTGCATTCTAACTGAAGATAGAGAATGAGGGGTGAGAGTTCTGGTGGAAAAAAAAACTCTGGACTCCTCCAGATGGCTGTCTATCCCTGTACTCTAGATTAATCAGGCACCCTGCCCTTCTCACAGATCTATACTTGAAATAATTTCTAATCATCTGCCTGTTGCTTTTTTCTCCCTTTGTTATTTCCATGTGCTGTCCAAAAATATATAAAAAAAATCCTGCCTTTGCTTCTTAAAAACTCCACACCCTGTCTCAAAATATTGCCAAAGCAATCAGGACGGGTAAAATTTGGCAAATTGCAGGTTGGGAGGGTTTAAGATTAAAAATGACAAAAAGGGGGGGTGTTGCCGCATATGGCCCGGCCGCCCTGAATAATTTGTTCGTTGTAAAATCCTAGCTTTGCTGTGAGCGATTCCCCCAGCTGGCCTGGGGTTAAAAATGAAAAGAATGAATAGCAGGGACTAATCTTATTAGCTTGAAAAGATTTTTTTTGCCTCTTTTTTGTAAACAGCAAAATGACTGTGCATAATGGGACTGGAATGATGATCAGGAAACCTTTTCTTTTAAGGAACTGATTTGTGACCCATGTCCAGATATTTCTGGAGGGTGGGATATGCTGCGGTCCAGAATCTTGTAGGATGGCTTTGTTTCGTTCATGATGGAGAAATCTGAGGAAGGCAAGATATGGATTTTTTTTATTTTACAGTACTTATTTTCCATACCTGACCCAAATGCTGCTCAGCCACCCTTCTCTTCCAGAGGGTGTAATGTATGCTTGAAAAAAATAATAATAAATGGCCCCCAAAATTTTTGTGATCCCTTTTCTTGGTGCTGAGGCTGGGTCGGGGGGGGGG